ACATCAACAGGGGGTCCTATATACACCAGCAGGGGGTCCTACAGACATCAGCAGGGGGTCCTATATACATCAGCAAAGGGTCCTATAGACATCAGCAGGGGTCCTATAGACATCAGCAGGGGTCCTATAGACAGCAGCAGGGGTCCTATAGACATCAGCAAGGGTCCTATAGATATCAGCAGGGGGGATCCTATAGACATCACCAGGGGTCCTATAGACATCAGCATGGGGGTCCTATAAACATCAGCAGGGGGTCCTATATACATTAGAAGGGGAACCTATATACATCAGCAGGGGGGTTCTATATACATCAGCTGAGGGTCCTATAGACATCAGCAGAACGTCTTATAGACATCAGCATGGGGTCCTATAGACATCAGCAGGGGTCCTATAGACATCAGCAGGGGTCCTATAGACATCAGCAGGGGTCCTATAGACATCAGCAGGGGGTCCTATACACATCAGCAAGGGGGTTATATCGACATCAGCAGGGGGTCCTATAGACATCAGCAGGGGTCCTATAGACATCAGCAGGGGTCATATAGACATCAGCAGGGGTCCTATAGACATCAGCAGGGGTCCTATAGACATCAGCATGGGGTCCTATAGACATCAGCAGGGGGTCCTATAGACATCAGCAGGGGGTCCTATAGACATCAGCAGGGGGTCCTATAGACATCACCAGGGAGTCCTATAGACTTCAGCAGGGGGTTCCTATAGACATCAGCAGGGGGGTCCTATAGACATCAGCAGGGGGTCCTATAGTCATCAGCAGGGGGGTCCTATAGACATCAGCAGGGGGTCCTATAGACATCAGCAGGGGGTCCTATAGACTTCAGCAGGGGGGTCCTATAGACATCAGCAGGGGGTCATATAGACATCAACAGGGGTCCTATAGACATCAGGAGGGTCCTATTGACATCAGCAGGGGTCCTATAGACATCAGCAGAGGTCCTATAGACATCAGCAGAGGTCCTATACACATCAACAGGGGGTCCTATATACATCACCAGGGGGGTTCTATAGACATCAGCAGGGGGTCCTATAGACAGCAGGTGGTCCTACTGACATCAGCAAGAGGTCCTATAGACATCAGCAAGGGGTCCTATAGACATGAGCAGGGGGTCCTATAGACATCAGCAGGGGGTCCTATAGACATGAGCAGGGGGTCCTATAGACATGAGCAGGGGGTCCTATAGACATCAGCAGGGGGTCCTATAGACATGAGCAGGGGGTCCTATAGACTTCAGCAGGGGGTCCTATAGACATGAGCAGGGGGGTCCTATAGACATCAGCAGGGGGGGGGTCCTATAGACATCAGCAGGGGGTCCTATAGACATCAGTGGGGGGGTCCTATATACATCAGCAGGGGGTTCCTATAGACATCAGCAGGGGGTCCTATAGACATCAGCAGGGAGTCCTCTAGACATCAGCAGGGGGTCCTATTGACATCAGCAGGGGGTCCTATTTACAAAAGCAGGGGGTCCTATAGACATCAGCAGGGGGGTGCTATAGACATCAGCAGGGGGTCCTATAGACATCAGCAGGGGATCCTATAGACATCAGCATGGGGTCCTATTGACATCAGCAGAGGGTCCTATAGACATCAGCAGGGGGTCCTATAGACATCAGCAGGGGGTCCTATAGGCATCAGCAGGGGGTCCTATAGACATCAGCATGGGGTTCTATTGACATCAGCAGGGGGTCCTATAGACATCAGCAGGGGGTCCTTTAGACATCAGCAGGGGGTCCTATAGACATCAGCAGGGGGTGCTATAGACATCAGTAGGGGGTGCTATAGACATCAGCAGGGGGTGCTATAGACATCAGCAGGGGGTGCTATAGACATCAGCAGGGGGTCCTATAGGCATCAGCAGGGGGTGCTATAGACATCAGCAGGGGGTGCTATAGACATCAGCAGGGGGTGCTATAGACATCAGCAGGGGGTGCTATAGACATCAGCAGGGGGGTCCTATAGGCATCAGCAGGGGGGTGCTATAGACATCAGCAGGGGGTCCTATAGACATCAGCAGGGGATCCTATAGACATCAGCAGGGGGTCCTATAGGCATCAGCAGGGGGTGCTATAGACATCAGCAGGGGGTGCTATAGACATCAGCAGGGGGTGCTATAGACATCAGCAGGGGGTGCTATAGACATCAGCAGGGGGTCCTATAGGCATCAGCAGGGGGTCCTATAGGCATCAGCAGGGGCTGCTATAGACATCAGCAGGGGGTCCTATAGACATCAGCAGGGGGTCCTTTAGACATCAGCAAAGGGTCCTATAGGCATCAGCAGGGGGTGCTATAGACATCAGCAGGGGGTGCTATAGACATCATCAGGGGGTCCTATAGGCATCAGCAGGGGGTGCTATAGACATCAGCAGGGGGTGCTATAGACATCAGCAGGGGGTCCTATAGGCATCAGCAGGGGGTCCTATAGGCATCAGCAGGGGGTCCTATTGACATCAGCAGGGGGTCCTATAGACATCAGCAGGGGGTCCTTTAGACATCAGCAGGGGGTCCTATAGGCATCAGCAGGGGGTGCTATAGACATCAGCAGGGGGTCCTATAGACACCAGTAGCAGGAGGATCCTACAGGCAACAGCAGCAGGAAGGGTCCTACAGGCAACAGCAGCAGGAAGGGTCCTACAGGCAACAGCAGCGGAAGGGTCCTACAGGCAACAACAGCAGGAAGAGTCCTACAGGCAACAGCAGCAGAAAGGGTCCTACAGGCAACAGCAGCGGAAGGGTCCTACAGGCAACAGCAGCAGGAGGATCCTACAGTTAACAGCAGCAGGAGGATCCTACAGGCAACAGCAGCAGGATAATCCTACGGGCAACAGCAGCAAGAGGATCTTACAGGCAACAGCCGCGGAAGGTGTCCTACAGGCAACAGCAGCGGAAGAGTCATACAGGCAACAGCAGCAAGAGGATCTTACAGGCAACAGCCGCGGAAGGTGTCCTACAGGCAACAGCAGCGGAAGAGTCATACAGGCAACAGCAGCAAGAGGATCCTACGGGCAACAGCAGTATCAGGAGGATCCTACAGGCAACAGCAGCGGAAGGGTCCTACAGGCAACAGCAGCGGAAGGGTCCTACAGGGAACAGCAGTGGAAGGGTCCTACAGGCAACAGCAGCAGGAGGATCCTACGGGCAACAGCAGCAGGAGGTGTCCTACAGGCATCAGCCGCAGGAGGGTTTTTGCAGGCAACAGCAGCAGGAGGGGTCCTACAGGCAACAGCCGCAGGAGGGTTTTTGCAGGCAACAGCAGCAGGAGGGGTCCTACAGGCAACAGCAGGAGGACCGCAGGAGGGTTTTTGCAGGTAACAGCAGCAGGAAGGGTCCTACAGGCAACAGCAGCAGGAGGGGTCCTACAGGCAACAGCAGCAGGAGGGGTCCTACAAGCAACAGCAGGAGGAGGAGGGGTCCTACAGGCAACAACAGCAGCAACAGGAGGGATCCTACAGGCAACAGCAGCAGGAGGGGTCCTACAGGCAACTGCAGCAGCAGGAGGGATCCTACAGGCAGCAGCAGCAGCAGGAGGGGTCCTACAGGCAACAACAGCAGCAGCAGGAGGGATCCTACAGGCAACAGCAGCAGGAGGGGTCCTACAGGCAACTGCAGCAGCAGGAGGGATCCTACAGACAACAGCAGCAGCAGGAGGGGTCCTACAGGCAACAACAGCAGCAGCAGGAGGGATCCTACAGGCAACTGCAGCAGCAGGAGGGGTCCTACAGGCAACAACAGCAGCAGCAGGAGGGGTCCTACAGGCAACAGCAGCAGCAGGAGGGGTCCTAGAGGCAACAACAGCAGCAGCAGGAGGGGTCCTACAGGCAACAACAGCAGCAGCAGGAGGGGTCCTACAGGCAACAACAGCAGCAGCAGGAGGGGTCCTATAGGCAACAGCAGCAGCAGCAGGAGGGATCCTACAGGCAACAGCAGCAGCAGGAGGGGTCCTACAGGCAACAACAGCAGCAGGAGGGGTCCTACAGGCAACAACCGCAGCAGGAGGGGTCCTACAGGCAACAACAGCAGCAGCAGGAAGGGTCCTACAGGCAACAACAGCAGCAGCAGGAGGGGTCCTACAGGCAACAACAGCAGGAGGGGTCCTGCAGGCAACAACCGCAGCAGGAGGGGTCCTACAGGCAACAACAGCAGCAGCAGGAGGGGTCCTACAGGCAACAACAGCAGGAGGGGTCCTACAGGCAACAACAGCAGGAGGGGTCCTACAGGCAAGAACTGCAGCAGCAGGAGGGGTTCTACAGGCAACAACAGCAGCAGCAGGAGGGGTCCTACAGGCAACAACAGCAGGAGGGGTTCTACAGGCAACAACTGCAGCAGCAGGAGGGGTTCTACAGGCAAGAACAGCAGCAGCAGGAGGGGTCCTACAGGCAACAGCAGCAGCAGGAGGGGTCCTACAGGCAACAACTGCAGCAGCAGGAGGGGTCCTACAGGCAACAATAGCAGCAGCAGGAGGGGTCCTACAGGCAACAGCAGCAGCAGGAGGGGTCCTACAGGCAACAGCAGCAGAAGTCCTACAGGCAACAGCAGCAGCAGGAGGGGTCCAACAGGCAACAGCAGCAGCAGTAGGAGTCCTACAGGCAACAGCAGCAGCAGGAGGGGTCCTACAGGCAACAGCAGTAGCAGTAGGAGTCCTACAGGCAACAGCAGCAGCAGGAGGGGTCCTACAGGCAACAGCAGCAGCAGGAGGGGTCCTACAGGCAACAACTGCAGCAGCAGGAGGGGTCCTACAGGCAACAATAGCAGCAGCAGGAGGGGTCCTACAGGCAACAGCAGCAGCAGGAGGGGTCCTACAGGCAACAGCAGCAGCAGGAGGGGTCCTACAGGCAACAGCAGCAGCAGGAGGGGTCCTACAGGCAACAGCAGCAGAAGTCCTACAGGCAACAGCAGCAGCAGGAGGGGTCCTACAGGCAACAGCAGCAGCTGGACGGTTCTTCAGGCCAAAGCTGAGTGGGAGAGTTTGTTTTTCGGTGACTAAATGAAAAATCTAAATGTAAAACATGCAGTAGCAGCAGAAGGGGCGCTGCAGGCGGCAGCAGAAGGGGCGCTGCCGGCAGCAGCAGAAGGAGCGCTGCCGGCAGCAGCAGAAGGGGTGATGCAGGGAGCAGCAGAAGGTGCGCTGCAGGCAGCATCAGCATCAGGAGCAAGGGCGGCGAGTGGTGTAGAAGGGCCCGGGGATGCTGAAGAAGGCTGGGCTGGCGGAGGGTGTGGCCTGCCGAGGGAGGAGCAGCAGCCGCCACACTGGTCGCCGGCGGGAGGGAGTGGCCAGGCGGTGAAGGGTTTACCGGAGAGATGTATCGCTTCCCACGTCTTATAGGGCAGCCCTCGGCCCGCTGGAGGAGGGGGCGTGGTCACCTCCGGTGTGGGTGCAGGTGAGACGCAGGGGGGAGGGGAGCCTGGTCCACTGTGAGAAAAATATGGGCGTGCTGGCCGGTGGGGGGGGCGTGGCCAGGGGTCCCAGGGGGAGTGCCGGGTGTAAATTGGAGTGTAGTGGGCGGGGCATGGTGATGAGTGGGGCGGGGCTGTGCCTGACGGGGGCGGGGCGACTGCGCGGGAAGAGTGCGCGAATCCACCCGGCGTGAGCTCTTCAGTGTCCTCCAGGCACCTGGCGTGATAGTACGTACATTTACGCTCTCCCGCTAAATCTTCTCCCATTCAGGATTCCTCCAAACGCCTCCTGCCTCAAGAAGGATCAACCCGCCCTCGCAAGATACTCAGCACAGGACACCACCTTGGCGACAGGCGACGCTGGCACCTGCACTAGAGTCCTTCAAAAGTCCTGTTGGCGTCTAGAGGTGTCCTGACGAGAAGCGGGTGTGCATGGCGTAGAGGCCCGACAGGGAGCTGAAGCCGAGTGACCTCCACCTCCGTGGAGTGACCACTACACCGGGGGAAGTTCCACTCCTGAGAGGGAGTGACCAGAAGGAGTGACCTCACTGGAGGGAGTTACCTCTGAGCCTCATAGTGACCTCAAAATAAATTCCTCATCTTTCCTGTCCTTCCGTTGTCACAGCTCGGCGAGAGGTCGCTCTCACTATTGTCCTCGGGAGAAGAGATATCAGAAGCGAGAGGTGTAGGGAGGGAGAGGGACGAGAAGGAAGGGAGAGCGGGTGAGAGGCGGCCGGCGTGGTGTAGCGGGGATCTCAACTCTGCGACGGGCGAGGCGCGCTACCTGCCTCAGGTGAGCCAGGTGCCCCAGGCCGCCCACCTCTGGTGCCCCAGGCCGCCCACCTCTGGTGCCCCAGGCCGCCCACCTCTGGTGCCCCAGGCCGCCCACCTCTGGTGCCCCAGGCCGCCCACCTCTGGTGCCCCAGGCCGCCCACCTCTGGTGCCCCAGGCCGCCCACCTCTGGTGCCCCAGGCCGCCCACCTCTGGTGCCCCAGGCCGCCCACCTCTGGTGCCCTAGGCCGCCCACCTCTGGTGCCCCAGGCCGCCCACTCCAAGGTGCCCCAGGCCGCCCACTCCAAGGTGCCCCATACCAAGCTCACCATCCCTGCACCACTGGGCTGCTCATCATGACAATTCTGGTCTATATACCTGACCGCTCGCTATATAAAGGTCTCTCAGTAAGGCATGAAAAAATAATTTATTTTGTTATCCTCTTAATGGGTCGTCGTTCTTCTGTTCTTGTGTCATAAGTTCTAGTGAAGACAGTGGCGCCGCCTGCCTCCCCCACACCGCGGCTCCTCCCCCACACATTACAACAGTCCCCAGCTACAAGAACAATAAGAGAGAAATAAGAGAATAAGAGAGAGATAAAAACTATAAACATATTAAAATAACTAAGCTAGCTAGCATTTAAATATATATATATACATATAAATCCTCCCCTCCCTCCCCCCAAAAAAATAAACCAAGGAGGCAAAAAGTATACCATACAAACATATATAAATATATTTCCACAGTTGATATACATAGGAGTATAAGAGGAGGAGGAGAGGCGTGGGTGAGAGTAGTCTCGACAGACAGACAGACACAGACACACACACGCGCCGACAGCACCATCTAGGGGCGCCGACAGCACCATCTAGGGGCGCCGACAGCACCATCTAGGGGCGCCGACAGCACCATCTAGGGGCGCCCACAGCACCATCTAGGGGCGCCGACAGCACCATCTAGGGGCGCCGACAGCACCATCTAGGGGCGCCGACAGCACCATCTAGGGGCGCCGACAGCACCATCTAGGGGCGCCGACACCACGGTTTAAAGGGTTAATGAAAATACCATCAAACACTTAATCCGTGAGAGCCACGAGGCTTCCAAAAAAGAGATTCCATTAATCCAGTGTTTGTGCGGCCGGCCGCGGTAAGCTGATTTCTCCCTCCCCCCCCTCAAAAAAATCTCTTCTACATTTAGAGTTTGACAATAAATGAAAAAAAATAAAATACAATGATTTGATTTATTTTTCGGATTAAGAAGTGACCTGATAACTGTGCGGACCTGAGGGGGTCAGACCTGCTGACCTGATCTTCAGAGATACTTGACCTGATCTTCTGATCTTCAGAGATACTTGACCTGATCTTCAGAGATACTCCACGACTGTCCTCTGTCTCGGTCCTCTACTGTGACCTCTGCTCACTGCTACTTCCAGAACCAACAAGGTAAGTCTTGGTATGAGCAGTGTCTGGGGCCCTGGTGACAGTGCCGACGGTGACAGTACAGTGAGTGTAGTCAGTCTGGCGGTGACAGGCGCATCAGTTCGTCTCCAGCTTATCACTCAACAATCTATCTTTCAGTGATAACCCTTGATATTCCATTACCCCCCCCATCTACTAGCGTCGATAAGCCTATACACCGTCCACTAACGTCATTAAGCCTCCCATTCCACTAGCGTTAATAAACCTTCCCCCTTCCATTACTGTCACTACGCCTACCCCCTTCCACTAGCGTTACTAAACCTTACCCCTTCCATTAGTGTCACTACGCCTACCCCCTTCCACTAGCGTTACTAAACCTTACCCCTGCCATTAGTGTCACTACGCCTACCCCCTTCCACTAGCGTTCATAAGCCTACCCCTTCTACTACCCCTTCTATAAGGATCCGTTACCACCCCCCATTGACAGTTAAGCTGTCCCCTTCTACTGACATATTAACTATTTTATTCATTATTTAATGCTGGCCTTTTCAAGTGCCTCTTCTAATGGTAATTTATATGAAAGTTACATAAAGTTCTTATTCCGCTACCCATTACTGCCCCTTTGACGCCCTTTGCCACTGCCCCCCATTTCATGCCCCCTTCTATTAACCCTTAATGCTATCCCTTCTACTTTCCTCTCGCCTGTTTTTGCAATTTTCCTTTTCTCCCGATTCCATCATCCCCATTCCTTCACGCTACCTATTCCACTACCCATCCCACATTGCTTCACACTACCTGATTTATGACCCATGAGAGCAACGGTGTCTCTAACCTAGAGGCAACGGTACCTCTAACCTAGAGGCAACGGTGTCTCTAACCTAGAGGCAACGGTGTCTCTAACCTAGAGGCAACGGTGCCTCTAACCTAGAGGCAACGGTGCCTCTAACCTAGAGGCAACGGTGCCTCTAACCTAGAGGAAACGGTGCCTCTAACCTAGAGGAAACGGTGCCTCTAACCTAGAGGCAACGGTGCCTCTAACCTAGAGGCAACGGTGCCTCTAACCTAGAGGCAAAGGTGCCTCTAACCTAGAGGCAACGGTGTCTCTAACCTAGAGGCAACGGTGTCTCTAACCTAGAGGCAACGGTGTCTCTAACCTAGAGGCAACTGTACCTCTAACCTAGAGGCAACGGTGTCTCTAACCTAGAGGCAACGGTACCTCTAACCTAGAGGCAACGGTGTCTCTAACCTAGAGGCAACGGTGTCTCTAACCTAGAGGCAACGGTGTCTCTAACCTAGAGGCAACGGTGCCTCTAACCTAGAGGCAACGGTGTCTCTAACCTAGAGGCAACGGTGTCTCTAACCTAGAGGCAACGGTGTCTCTAACCTAGAGGCAACGGTGCCTCTAATCTAGAGGCAACGGTGTCTCTACCCAGTACCCGTCATCGTGTGAGGATAACGGGCACTTCTTGGCACTTCTCCCGTTACTGCTAACGCCAAGGGAGCCGGTCGGCCGAGCGGACAGCACGCTGGACTTGTGATCCTGTGGTCCCGGGTTCCATCCCGGGCGCCGGCGAGAAACAATGGGCAGAGTTTCTTTCACCCTATGCCCCAGTTACCTAGCTGTAAAATAGGTACCTGGGTGTTAGTCAGCTGTCACGAGCTGCTTCCTGGGGTGGTGTAGGCCTGGTCGAGGACCGGGCCGCGGGGACACTAAAAAAGCCCCGAAATCATCTCAAGATAACTTCAAGATAACCAGTAATACTTACAGCTAGTACCCACTCTACTCTTCCTGGCGTCTATCCCCCCACCTTCACTACCCCCTTTCCCACTACTCGTTGCTATAACCCGTTCCACAGTCTTTTGCACTTCGCCTTTCCATTCCAGCGTTGAGTACCTCCTATAGATCCCAGTGCTTGACTTTCAGATCAAGCCGCACCAATCTCATTCAATCCCCTTGCTACAGCCCCATTGATTAACCCCCCCCCCCCTTTCCTTTTCCCTTTCCACTATCCATACCCTCTCCTTGTCCACCGACCCTTTGGCGAGCCTTCTCTATCCTCGTGGCACCACTCCTCCAATTGAGGAAAGCCTCTGCTCATCTTCAAGAGTCATTCTGAAACGTCTTGGTTCATAGTTTGTGAATCAGGTATTATATGTTTCCGCCTCCTACGGGGGGTAGAGGGTCGTGTGGTGGGAGAGGTCACTGTAACGAGTGGTAGAGGTGAGTGTACAGTGCCTCCACAGTCACCGGCAGTGTCAACAATTACTGTACTCACAGTGCCATCACCTTCACTGTGGGTGTACATAAGGCCAACACTTACCATTAAAATGTTTCTTTAGCGACTGTCCACCAGTGTCAGAGTACAGTCACTGCCTTCAGCGACTGTCTACCAGTGCCAGAGTACAGTCACTGCCTTCAGCGACTGTCTACCAGTGTCAGAGTACAGTCACTGCCTTCAGCGACTGTCTACCAGTGTCAGAGTACAGTCACTGCCTTCAGCGACTGTCTACCAGTGCCAGAGTACAGTCACTGCCTTCAGCGACTGTCTACCAGTGTCAGAGTACAGTCACTGCCTTCAGCGACTGTCCACAAGTGCCAGAGTACAGTCACTGCCTTCAGCGACTGTCTACCAGTGCCAGAGTACAGTCACTGCCTTCAGCGACTGTCTACCAGTGCCAGAGTACAGTCACTGCCTTCAGCGACTGTCTACCAGTGCCAGAGTACAGTTACTGCCTTCAGCGACTGTCCACCAGTGCCAGAGTACAGTCACTGCCTTCAGCGACTGTCTACCAGTGCCAGAGTACAGTCACTGCCTTCAGCGACTGTCTACCAGTGCCAGAGTACAGTTACTGCCTTCAGCGACTGTCCACCAGTGCCAGAGTACAGTCACTGCCTTCAGCGACTGTCTACCAGTGCCAGAGTACAGTCACTGCCTTCAGCGACTGTCTACCAGTGCCAGAGTACAGTCACTGCCTTCAGCGACTGTCTACCAGTGCCAGAGTACAGTCACTGCCTTCAGCGACTGTCTACCAGTGTCAGAGTACAGTCACTGCCGTCAGCGACTGTCCAACAGTGCCAGAGTACAGTCACTGCCTTCAGCGACTGTCTACCAGTGCCAGAGTACAGTCACTGCCGTCAGTGACTGTCCCGAGCAGGTTAAAGCCTCCCTTTCGCGTCGTCGTCCCGTCCAAACACCTGTCTGTCGAACCCCCCATCAGTCGGACTGCCTGTCTGTCCAACCGCCTGTCCGTCCGACTGTCTGGGCGTCCGTCGGAGTGCCTGTGCGGGTTAAGCGGTTAAGTCGCTGCTCTAGGTTTGGGCCGGCCAGGCTGTGACGACCAGGCACCGGCACTCCCCCCAGATGACAGCCCGCACCCTCACCTCACACACACATGACATTTACACCTGACTTAATTGTATCGCTCGCTAATTAATGGAACCGATACAGAGGCAGTAGGAGCGAGAGAGACAGAGAGAGACAGAGAGAAACAGAGAGGACTAAGCGCACTAGAGGACACATGAACAATGCGCACTAAAGGACACATGCACTAAGCGAACTAGAGGACACATGAACAATGCGCACTAAAGGACACATGCACTAAGCGCACTAGAGGACACATGAACAATGCGCACTAAAGGACACATGCACTAAGCGAACTAGAGGACACATGAACAATGCGCACTAAAGGACACATGCACTAAGCGAACTAGAGGACACATGAACAATGCGCACTAAAGGACACATGCACTAAGCGCACTAGAGGACACATGAACAATGCGCACTAGAGGACACATGCACTAAGCGTACTAAAGGACACATGAACTGAGTGTACCCGTCCGTGGTCTCCGCCAGCGACCACTCCACACCTGCAGCTCATCCTGTTGAGGAGGAGGAGGAGGGGGGGAGGAAGGATGTTCTATTGCTAATTGGTATAAGCCTTCAGGATTGCTCACTAATTGTATTTGCCTAATTGTCCATGCATGGCCGGACGCCAGCTCCCTAGCTCCACCTTTTCAGCGACCGTCCGACTGCTGCTGTGAAGGTTCTCGCCTCCAGGACCCAGAAGACCTCTGCAATATTTGCCAGCTTTGCATATGCAGTAATCAGTTGATACGTCAGGTCTATAGTCAGTCTTGATTTTTCCATTGTGGCTCTTGAAGCCTCCTTCACCCTAGTGCAGGAGGACGAAGGAGTCTCCACACAGCACCTAGGAGCCAGCTTCCACTCGGCTGTGTGGCCTAGCTGTGTGGCCTAGCTGTGTGCCTGGTCGACGACCGGGCCGCGGGGACACTAAGCCCCGGAAGCACCTCAAGGTAACCTCAAGGTAGGCCTAGCTGTGTGGCCTAGCCAGGTCCGCAGGTGAAGCCCCCCTAGGCAGGCTCTATTATCTATACTAAACGGGGCGGGCCACAGTCCTCCTTGTAGTGCACCACTTCCTACCCTCGCCAGTCATATCACATGTCTATGGCTCTTTATCTATGTCAATGGTCATATGTCTATGGCTCTTCACGGTGGGGGTCTCTTAAGTCTATTGTTTCAATGTCTGTAAATGTTGAGAATATTTTATATCACTTCATTTTTCATCGTGGAATCCATTTATTTGGTCATAGTTGCTTCCCAGTATATCCGGGACAGGACAGGAAACAACTTTATGTATTTTGAGGAAATATATTTGATGCCGTGACAGGTGAGGATTCCACACGAGGTGTAGCCTGATACTGGCTTCAGCTTATACTCTACACTGAACCTGCCTCACCTTATACTCTACACTGGAGCTTATATAGCTTCCTGATGCCGGCTGAGCAAGGTAGTGAACACCGCTCTACGGCACAGTACTGTGTCTACGGCAGAGTGCTCAGGATGCTGGCGGCGGTACAGATGCTCAGTAACATCGGCAGGCCGCTCATGTTATTTAAGTATTATTCTAAGTTGTGGGTAGTGTATGTATGTATGAGTGTGCGTGTAAGCTATCAAGCCCCCTTACGTGACGTTGTACGCCATTGTGTGTTTTACTGTGTGCGTTACTGT